GTATTCTCGGTTGCTGGTCTCGCACTTGTTTTTTATTTCCAGCCGAAACCCAAAAGATTTTCCTGGCCTTGTTTGGTACTTTTCACAGCAGAAAAAGTGCTTATCCGCGGCCTATATTTGTACAGAAGACTGCATTGTTTCTTCTTTGACCAATTAAAGAGGGGTTTCAAACTCGTAAAAGTGCTTTTCCCCTTGGCTTAGTTTGCCTTTGTTTGCCTTCTTTTATCCTTAGAAAGGAAAAATGAAATAGCCTCACATTTAGGGTAATATCTTTATTCATGATCATGAAAATCAACAGAAAATGAAATGTTTGTTATTGAGTCCCTAAATCGACTTGTTCAATACAATCTTAATCAATTTGAGCAGTTTTCAAAACTGCTTTTAAACGAAGCAGAGTCTTCAATGAATTTTTTAATTCCCAAAATACTATTATTAATTTTTAAAAATGACACCACCTCCACCTCCACATCCACCACCACCATCACCACCACCACCACCACATCCTCCTCCTCCGCCACCACCACAACCACCACCTCCTCCTCCTCCTCCTCCACCACCACCTCTTTCACCACCACCTTCACCTACATCTCTTTCACCACCACCTCCACCACCACCACCACATGATTAGTGCATAACACTTTCAACATCATGTATATTTTAGTCATCATTCACAGTTAAAACCGTTTCATATTAAAATTTACCAAACGGTTTTGACACTGTTTTTTGTACTAAAAGCACTTTAAAAATATTGTTTCATATTAAAAATACTGTTTTTCAGTTATAAATAATCTTGTACTTGGAGAGGTTTATTATATTTAATTTTTTTTTAGGTGAATAGTGCGTATTAGAGATGACATTAGTCTTTAACTGCCCAATTTGCAATTTACACGAAGTACAATAAAATATTTCCAACCAAAATACAAAATAAAATCACAATAAGATAAACACAAGAGGTGAATGTTAAGTACAAAACAAAAGTAAGCATCAGTCTTCAATATGGGGCCATACATTGGTCAAATGTCGCTTGGTAGTGGAAATCAGCAAATTACCTCAATATGGGGCAAGTCGAAAACACTTGTACATGTTAGCTAAATTTATCAAAGATGCTAAATTTATCAAAGAGCATCTTTAAGGAGATGTCAAATGTTAAATTTGAATGTGATGGTTTATGTGGTAATTTGACACTTGGTAAAAAATTTAACTCAACTCGAAATGCCAAATATCATATTACTTTATTATATTTTCAAAAGTAAATGGAGCATATATGATGCATAAAAACTTCAAAAGAGAATAAATAATAGTGGGGTCTATGATTGAAAAAATATTAAAATAATATTTGACGTCAAACTTTATGAGATGTTATTTTTGACATATCTTTCCCAATTTTCAAATCCATATAAGATTTGAATACTCGATTGAAATATCTGTAAATCCTCAATTTTTGTTATTTCATATCCATGTGGAAATTTAACATCTCTTTTGAATATGCTTCAAAAATTGAGAACAACAGTCCGGGGTTTTTAAATTATGGCATGAAAGATGAAATGCCAAATTTTTTATTTTAACAATGAGTAAATTTTTTAGTTTCACTTTTTTTATCAGGTATGTATGAGAGGGAAAATTAAAATTTTCCAAATTTTAATTTTAATCTATTAAATATAAAAATCACCATTAGACAAAAAATTTGGGTAATGATTAATTATGAGCTCAAAATGACCCAAAATAGAGGCATTAGAACAATCATGAGTTTGTGTTGGCCGAGAAGCCCTAAATCGATAACTCGTAATCTCTTATGACATTTTGGTTCATGAAAATAAATGGATGAGAAATCAATATTCATGTCCAGTCTCAAGTAAAGGTTCATTTCCTATGTTTGGTAATTCTAGAAAAGTAATTAGGAAATACCATTTTACCTCATTTTCCATGTTTAGTTTGTGCATGAATTGAAACAAATTTTGTTTAGTTTTCTAATTATACTCGCAAATTAGAAGTATGCAAAAATAAAATAAAAACCGTAATCAATGCTACACTTGAAGTATTTTTGAACCCTTCAAGTTACGCCAATTCTAAAAGTTCCTAAATCCATTACGCTAGTTCGAAACGCCAACATAGTACTAGAATGTATGAGTGAATCCTGGGTGCCAAAATGGTGGTTAGATTGTAGTTAATGTTGAAAAAAAAAAAAAACAAGTTTAATAGAAAAGTAAATATTGAATTCCAAAGGGCGGTGTAAAAAGAATTTGAAATTGGAGGTGGGAAGACTAGAAGCGGTTGCAGGCAGACCAGATCTGGGTGAGAAGTTAACAAGTAAAGCTGCATTGCATGTAAGACAAGTGTTTGGAGGAGTGATAAGATGGCAAAGGCCAGTTTGGTAACAACAACAAAAAAGTCATATAAAGTTAACAAAGACTAAGCAGAGAAGAGAAGAGAGCTGAAAACAAACAAACCCTAACAAATTCTCATATTTCAGCCAGCCCGGATCTTTCGCGACCTTGTTTCAGACAAATTTTCTTCTGCCCCCTCACCTAAAAGTCTTTTTAGTCCTCCCCCCAACTTCTCCTCTCTCCCTTTTTTTATTTTTTCACTTTTCTCTCTTCTTTATAATAACCCTTCCTCTTCCTTTATCTTCTTCCTTCATCATCCCCTCTCTCTCTTTCTCTCCCTAACCCAGTTCAAGTTGAAGCTTTTGAGCTAAACCCAAATGGGTTTTGCATGCATTGTGTTTCCAAGGCATTGATTGGCTTAATAATACTGTTCGAACTTCAGAGCTCAGCTTGCTTCTAGATAGCTCAGAACGTGTTTGAAGTAATTCCACCGTAACCTCGTGATTATCGTAACCCAGATGAGATTAGGCACCACTGGCTAGCTAGCTTTAAGTAACGGTTGAGGCAGTTTCATTTTGTTTGGGTGAGGAGAAAAAAAATATATTAAAGTTGGTTTCTTTTATTTCAAGTGGTTGTTTGTTTGTACATCACTCTTTTTTTCTTCTTCCATTGTTTGTTTCCTGAGAAAATTTAATTATTTCTCTTCTTTTTTGCCTTCCCCAAATGTGATACTGATCCGTGCATGTTTGCTTCTTCAGATTTATTACAAGCAGACAAAAACAAGAGTTACCTCTATAGGCTGAAACGTCTTTTTAAGCAAGTACAAATATGGCTCCAGCGAGTAATTGGTTATCCTTCTCTTTAATGTCTCCCATGGAAATGCTCAGGTCCTCTGAGTCTGAATCTCCCTTTGTTCCCTATGACACATCCTCTACCGCCTCTCCTCACTACTTCCTTGATAACTTCTATGCCAACGGTAAATGGGTTCTCTCTCTCTTTTTCAATCGAGTTTTCTGTATGCTCTGTTTGGTTGCTGAGAAAATTGCACAGAAAATACTTGTGCTTATGTACTCAGTCAGCTAGAAACAGAGCTTAAGCTTAGTTTGTTTATTTATATTCTTTCTCTATTTTTTGGGTAACTCAAATCTTACTGGGTCACGTGAAAATCCCAAAACCTTCTCTTCTGTTTGGTTGATAGAGGAGGTGAATCGGAGAAAAATACAAGAAATTTCTGTTTTTGTTTGAGCTGAAAATAAATGCTTTTTCTCAACTGCATGTGCGTAATAATCAAAGTTTTTGTTTTTTAATTTTTTTTTTCTTCTTTTTCTCAAAGGCTGGACGAACCCCAAGTCCCAAGTGTTTTTTGCAGACGGTGAAGAACACAACAACCAGAGCAAACAAGGCCACGCCGATTCACCCAATCTCACCAGCTTCATCGACCCACAGAGCCATCACCAACCTATTCCAAAGCTGGAGGACTTTCTAGGCGATTCTTCATCGATGGTGCGCTATTCCGATAGCCAAACAGAGACCCAAGACTCGTCGTCCCTGACCCACATGTACGACCAGAGCTCGGCCTATTTTGGCGACCATCAGCAGCAGCAAGATCTCAAGGCGATTACTGGGTTTCAGGCCTTTTCGACGAACTCGGGCTCGGAAGTGGACGACTCGGCGTCCATGGCTCGTACGACTCAGCTCGCTGGCGGCGAGTTCACGGGTCATTCTATTGAGTCGAACGGGAACGAGCTGGGAGGCGGGTTCTCTAGCTGTGGCACAAATACTCGGCTCGTACGACTCAGCTCGCTGGGGGCGAGTTCCCGGGTCATTCTATTGAGTCGAACGGGAACGAGCTGGGAGGCGGGTTCTCTAGCTGTGGCACAAATACTCTGTCGCTTGGGGTCACTACCCAGAGCTCTTCTCAGTCTAAAGCCATAGTTCCCGCGGACAGCGACGGCTCTAAGAAGATCGCTGATACTTTTGGCCAGAGGACTTCAATTTACAGAGGGGTCACTAGGTAATTAATTTTTGTTGTTATTTTTCAATTTATTTTTCTTGGGTTCCTTTCAAATTTTAATGTTCATGATCCATTTGGGTGGCTGTTTTTGGTGAAAACTAAGACGATATTAATTAATTTTTCTCAAATTTTAATGGGTTTAGATTAATTTTTATTTTAATGTGAATGCATGCATCTAGTTGGATTAATTAAGAGTATTGGGTATTGGGCATTTTGACCACCCAATGTGTTAAAATTGTGGTGTTTGAGGATTTGACTGATTAATTTAATTGAAAAGTATGATGCGTCGTCACTCTTGTCTGGAAGAAGGCCGTATTCATATCTGCAGTACAAGTCTCTGACTGTATCTTTGTATTTGCTACAGACACCGGTGGACGGGTAGATATGAAGCGCATCTATGGGATAACAGCTGTAGAAGGGAGGGTCAGGCCAGGAAAGGGCGTCAAGGTCCTCACTCTCTCTCTCTCTATATATATATATATATGTATATATCTGCTTCAATTTCTGCATTATGTACAGTATAAAGCATGTATAATTACGTACATGTATACACATATAATGCATAGAGATTGTACTGTAGCACTGAAAAGAAGCTTGCATGCAATACAAAGGGAAAGCCCAATTAATGTGGGGGAAGGGCTGTGGATTTCTGGTGGTGGTGGGGGACACTTGAACCTCCTTTTTCATTAGTCTCACATGATTGATTGATGGTATCTGTGTACAATTGGTACTTTTAGATGAGTTTTCTCTTCTTTCTTGCTCTGTTTTTTATTTCTTTATTTCTTTATTTCTTTCAATCAGTTTTGATTTGATCAGATGTGCCGCCATTTTGTCCATGTGGGTTTTTAATTTGCCTTGCTTTGTTGTCTGGCCCTTTGCCCTAAGTTTTTCCTTCCATCTCAACTCGCTCTGTAAAAAACGTACAACTCATTCGTGAATGGACGCGACCCACACCTACACCCTCCCCTCCTCACACCTTGAATTTGCAGACCTCAATGGCTCTGATATCTTCTGACCTCAAATGCTTTTACTTTTGCTTTTGCTTTCATCCCACTGTACAAGTTTGGGTTTGACCAAAGCACCACCCACTTGAATTTTTTTAATTTTATTATTTAAAACATGGCTTCCTTTATTTTAGCCGAAACTTGTTGATAGTGACTCTCCTGGACTGTAGCCTGGTAAAAGTGCGAGCTAGATTCTGGTCCATAGTCCATACACCACACATGAAACCTCATAATCTAATATGCAGTTTGTGCCCATGACTTGTGCTGTGTGGGAGAAAAAAAAGAAAAGAGTTGAATAAATGTTGGATTCTAACTTAAATAAGCCCAAAAAGAAAAAGTGAAGTGGTGATTGGGACAATCCATATTGGACTAAGCTATCAACATGCAAATCACATGCTTCTTTTTTGTTTCATAAATTATAATATATGCTAGTCTACTTACCAGGAAATTTTGATTGCTATGTCTGCTGATGGTGATTTCTTATTTACTTTTTGCATAAAATGTGGGATTTGCTTATCTGGCTGTCATTCAACATCTGATCCTGTTTCTACAGTTTACTTGGGTAAGATTCTAACTAGTTTACTTTTCCTTGAAACAAAAATTGAAAGTAATTTTCTTTTTTATTAACCAACCTTCTGTAATTTTCAGGTGGATATGACAAGGAAGATAAGGCAGCAAGGGCGTATGATTTGGCTGCTCTGAAATACTGGGGTCCTACTGCAACTACCAACTTTCCAGTAATACACATGAAAAAATAAATTCTATTGACTTTCGCTTTGTTTCTGCTTGAAAAGCAATCTGACACTGAACACATGAACATAGTACTTAGCAGATTGATTTTCACGTTCTCAGGTTTCAACTTACAGCAAAGAACTGGAAGATATGAAACATGTAACCAAGCAAGAATTCATTGCGTCGCTCAGAAGGTTTTCTCAAACCCCTTTTGCTTCTTGTTATGTGTTTGTCTGTTTTGCAGTTAATTAAACAGTTTTCCCCAATTTTTTACTTACAGGAAAAGCAGTGGTTTTTCGAGGGGAGCTTCTATTTACCGGGGGGTTACAAGGTCAGTACACCTAGATTCAAAAGATTACTCGGAACATTCCTTGTCAAGTTTGGGTGTACAACATTTTTTATCTTCCCCTGAATGGTTATATTTGTTACATAAACAAGTTGTGTATCTCATGCATTGTTTAATTTGATGTTTCAGGCATCATCAACAAGGCCGATGGCAAGCAAGGATAGGCCGTGTTGCCGGGAACAAAGACCTATACCTTGGGACATTTGGTAACAACTTTACCTAGCACATTTCATTGCAATTGTGACATATTGATTAATGGAGTCTAATTTAAGTCTTCAAGTTGATATTAATTGCTGTTATTCAAGCATAAGATTTTTAGGTAATTAGGATGTGTTAGTTTTTATCTTGGATTTGTCTGATAGTATTCAAATTTTATGCTTATTTGGAAGAAAATTATCATGCAGTTTTTAATAATGACATGACCTTTCGTTGTTAACAGCCACTGAAGAGGAAGCAGCAGAGGCATATGACATAGCGGCCATAAAGTTCAGGGGTATTAATGCAGTTACAAATTTTGAGATGAACCGATATGACGTTGAAGCTATTGGAAAGAGTTCCCTTCCTGTCGGTGGGGCAGCGAAGCGCTTAAAGCTCTCACTCGAAGCTGAAGAGCAGAAACCATCTGTAAACCATGATCAGCAGCGTCCTCAATGCAGCAGCGGCAGCAACAACATCAATTTTACTTCGATGCAGCCAGCAGTTCAATCGATACCGTGTGGGATTCCTTATGATGCTGCAGCTGCAACAGCATATTATCATCACAACCTCTTCCAGCAATTTCAACCGAACTACTACGGCCCTTGTGATTCATCCGGATTAACCCCTAACATTGCAACTCAGATGAGCATGATGCCGCAGCAGCCAGCTGAGTTTTATATTTGGCCTCACCACCAATCCAATTGATAGGACTAAACAGTTGCTGTTGTTTCATATGTTAGCCGCTAACATTATCCGGCTGACCAACATCTGACCCTCACTCCAATCCACCTCTCAACCTTAGGATTTAGGATTAGGAAAGGCATAAGAGGTTTTTTGTTTGGAGGCTAAAATTCTGGATACAGTAGGAAGCTGGGTTTTGTATTTAAGGTGGGAAACGTTGAATGGTGTATCCATCTGCTTTTTAAGAATTTCCTTATCTTTCTTTTTGGATATCTTTCCAAACCTACATTGTCTTCAGTTACTTGTTCTTATCTGCTCCCATGGTGACATTTTGGTTTTTGCACTGAAACAATGTCGAATGATCTGGCGGACTGAATACTTCGTCATTTTATTAGGAGGATCGAATTTGAACCTTTCTTAATTTTTAGCTCATTGACTCACCCTCCCTCACCATTAGGGCTAATTGCCTCGCCCTCCCTCACCATTAGGGCTAATTGCCTCGCCCTCCCTCACCACTAGTACTGATTTCGAAAGCTCGTCCCTCACCACTAGTGCTAATTTCGAAATCTCGATTGAACATTTCCGAATATGTATAGCTAAGAGCTCATTTAAGAATGCTATCGTAGGAAGCACTTTTGTTCATAAAGTGCTTATAATGCCTAAACTCGTCAAAGGATAAAGATTGTTAAAGTAGTTTTTTTCACTGATGTGAACCATGTGATGAATGATTTTCATGGGCATTCTATAAAGGTGAGTACAAAATGTGGTCACTTTCTGAAATAAAGATATTAATCCCATATCTATATATAATATATATAAAGCAAAAGGCAGAGAATGGTGAAACATTCAAAATACCCTTGGTTAATGCAAATATTAAGAATTGAAATTATTAATTAAGTGAGGATATCTATATATAATATATATAAAGCAAAAGGCAGAGAATGGTGAAACATTCAAAATACCTTTGGTTAATACAAATATTAAGAATTGAAATTATTAATTAAGTGAGGATAATATGGTAAATTTACACTTTTTCATATTAAAAAAATTTAAAATTAAAAGAAAAATCAGATAATGGATCTTTTTTTATAAAACACAACTACCCATTATCTTTTTTAATTCTAAAATAAACTTAATTTTTTCTTTTAAAAAGCCTCTCACAGGCGTGGAAGCGCATTCAGAGAGGCTAGTACGCAAGAAAAAGAAAAGACTATAATAGATCAAAATTAAAATGACCATAATGCTTATCACAAAAACATTTGGGCCTTTTAAGCCCAAATTCATATACAAACTACCAGATCTAGGATCCTAACCGATCCAAGCCTTGACGGGCCAAAACCGACCCGGGCTCAGCCCTCAAGGCCCGCTCAAAAGCCTCCCTAGCTTCCTCCTTCATCCCCTTCCACTCGTAGCACTGACCCAACAAACAGAACGACGTCACATCATCTCCCTCGCCTCGACTCAGCCTGACCGCTTGCACCAGGTCCTCGACGGCCGAGTCAACCCGGCGCCTCCGGTTCAGCCCGATCTTCAATTTCGCCCTCTTCACCAGTGCCTCCCCTCGCTCCCTCTCCGAGAGTGACTTCACGCACGGCGGCGACAGAGCCACGTCGAACGATTTCAGCGCCGAGGTCTTGTGCCCCAAAAGATCGAGAGCTAGGGCTTTGAGAATGTGCGGGCCCGGGTCTCTGGGGGAGAGAGCCAGTGCCTTCTCCGCCTCCGTTAAGGCGTTTTTGGCATGGGCCTGCGATTGGGCTTTGTGAGGATTGGATCGGGCTCGGGTCAGGAGGTGAGACCCGTGGACGAAGTGGCGGGTCGATTGGAGGTTGGCTCGGTTGTTGGTTCGGAGCTTGGTTAGGGCTTTTCTGGAGATTTTGTGTATGGCGAAGAACATTGCTAGGGTTAGGATGAGAAGGCCGAGCTGTAGCACCACCTCAGGCGCCATTTTCTTCAGTCTTTCTGGGTTTCGTGGAATCGACGGTAGCGATTGAATCAATGATAGGTTGATCGTTATCCGATTGAATCTGGTTCGTTGATTTTGGCTGAGGACAATAATGTTTGATGCAGAGATGGAGGTGAACTCCGAGATTGGTGTTTGTGGATTATTTGATTTGATTTGATGTATAGGGTGCTTTTCCAATTAAAAGGGATTCTTTTTATTTTCTTTTTGGTCCCTAGTTTTTCCTTTTTTTTAAAACTTAATTAACCAGTGCAAATAATTTTCTGTGGAATCTATTGTATTGCTGTTGGAAGATGAAGTCACAAATTGATCAAGAAAACAATGAACTTGATTCAGAATTGTTTTACATGATGTGAATTTATAGATACAACCATCATGGGAGTACACTTAGTGTAACAAAAGGAACTTTCTTTTGCTAGATACATGGGCATGTAATGTTGTCAGGTTACCAATTTAAGTTCGTGGTGTTCAAATATACAATTTCCTGATTGATTGTTTGACAACATAACATGCCGGACCGAACAAACTGACTCATGACAATGACAAAATGCCACTTTTCCTAGTATTCTCTACAAATATATAGGAAATGCACAAGCCGGTGAGAACTTCTACTTAACTCATACACCAGAGGGTACTAACCAATTCCAAAACTTTCACACTGCCAAAGTAACAACAAGAGGCTGCAGGAGAAAGAGCAATGCAGAGGGAGAAAGCAAAGCAAAGCACTACTGATCCATTACGAGTTGCCGGTGGCGATTTAGGTCACTCAAGTAGTTAGAACAAGTATAATCTTCCAAGTCACAAGCCTCTAACATGAGTGATCTCACTACTGAAGACTTTTGTTTCAACTGATCTACAATTCCACCCTCACCCTTTAGTATCTGCACTACCTGCACTCTCACCAATTTTGTTTCATCAGTCACTCTTGCAGCTTTTGGTTTGGAAACCGAAATTAATGCGAAACAGGAAACAGATTTCATACCCGATTCATGTATGGACGCTTTGTGGATTGATGACTGATGCACATTGAAGCTGTCACCATGGCTCTTTTCATCTCCACTGGATCAAATGCATCTTCTAACCGAGGATCTGCTAGTTCCTTGACATTACTAGCATCCAGAAGTGGTTTCGCCTGTGGATAACACAAAAATGATCACTCATATCATCTTTCATGGAACATGTTCATGTTATCTAAACTCATAACTACGGAATTGTTCAATACAAAACCCTGCAGCCTACAGATAGTCAAGCAGACTTAACCCTTGAAAAATTTGTGCATCCTTTGATTGTTCAGTGATAAACTTTCTACGTTTTTTTGGTTACATTGAGATGGAGTTGGAGTTGTGACGTATCCTAATGCCAATTCTTTTTTCCAACCCACCATCTGGACTTGGCTAAGGGGCATAAACATGCTAGGCTATAGCATAATATATGCATACCCATATCACAAGGCTTTGCTGAGTTGAATCAACTGCGCGGCGACCTGTTATGAGCTCCAGTAATAAAACACCATATGCAAATACATCCGTCTTCTCGTCAACAATCCCGTGCATAAAATACTCTGGAGACAAGTACCTGAAACAGTTTGAAGATCCATAAGGCCAAACATCCATGACAGATGAAAGTGAGCAATCATAACAAATGAATAATTGAAACTGCAAGCTAACCCGAATGTGCCTTCAATAGGGAATACAACATGGTGAGTCCATTTTTCTGGGAGCCACTTCGCTAGTCCAAAATCAGATATCTGCAGCAACAGTAAAATAGAACTCCTTCTATGTTTAGAAAATCCATTAAGAACAAATTATATGAAAAAACAGACTTGAACAACAACAATAATAATACCTGAGCTTCATAATCTTCGGTTAGTAGGATATTAGAGGCCTTGATGTCTCTGTGAATAATGCGCCTGTGGCATTCGTGATGGAGATATCGCAAGCCTTCTGCTATCCCAACTGCTACCTTAAACCTGACCTTCCAGTCCATAGATTCTTCTGAACCTGGTATGCAGAATATCTTTCATCAGCCAAATAAATATGTGCTTACTCTGTAAGCCAAACAATGACATTGGAAGAAATACAGAGTTTAAGAAAAGCAGAAGACAAATATCATACCAAAAAGTAGAGAAGCTAAGCTGCCATGTGGGGAAAATTGGAGTACAAGGTGCAAACCACCATCGATGCCAAACCCAAGCAACCGAGCAGCATTCGGGTGGCTTATGTGTGCAATAATCCCAAGCTCTCCTAAGAAATCACCAACTCTATCCTCATTTTCTTTCTCTTTCTCTTTCTTCATTAGCCTCTTTACAGCTATAATTTGACCATTGGATAAGAGCCCCTTGTAAACTTCTGCTTGGCCACCTTTCCCAACTAAGTTCTCTGCAAAGTATCATGCAATCATAACTTAAAAAGTAAACCAAGCAAATACTAATTGATGATCAAACAATTGGATGCAAACATTAATCTGTCAGTGGCTGCATTTTGCATCCTATAAAGAATTTGGGACTGGGATTTTGACCATAGCTGATCATATTCATACATGTGATGGAGCCTATACCCTGTGGCAAACAAAGACCCAAAATTGGAACTAAAAGTTTCACCGACATGTCACCAACATACTTTAAAGCTACAGTGATCAGATCAAACTTCCACAGCTAAAACCCCCAGAAATAAAAAAGATATAAAAAAAAAACTTGTTGATGTCAAAACAGTGGTCAAAAAAGCAGAAATTAGAAAAGTTACAAATTGGGTCCAACAAAATCGTTTTTAGCAGCAAAATCAGAATCTATCCAAAGACAAAGTCAATTAGCAGCAATAACCCTAAGCCTAGTTAACTGAATCTAAGGGACTACACTAGTGGTCAAGAAGACTCAAGGAGCAGCCCAGGTCCCACAATTGCTTTCCTGCTCCGTCCGTCCAAACAGACTTTTGTCAAAAGGGTCGGCTAAAAACGACATCAATTCAATGGTGGCTGGACTTTCCCAAATGCAACAACAAAAGAAGAAGAAAAAAAAAGGTTTAAAATTATACCTGGTTTGAAATTGCCAGTGGCAGCAGCAAGCTCAGCAAAATCAAAGTTCCTCCACGATGGTTTCGTAACTATCATCCCATCAACATCTGCTCCTTCCTCGTCATCCTCGGACGACCAAATCCGAGCCAGTCTCCTCCTTAAGTTTCTCCTCGACAATTCATAGCTGGTACCCAACAAGGGAATCGTTGAGAATCGCCTAGCTGACTTCTTCTTCAAGGCATCAAACATTCCCTTGCCTTTCCATTGCAACCCATTGCTGATATCTCGCACCAGCGTCCTCTGGCCCGCCGTTTTTTCACCGGAAGAAGACGAGGCACAGCTACTGCTACTGTAGTCAGAGTCGGTAACAGGGACTTCCAATACACCCCTCGGTGATGGCTCGTCCTCGCACGGCTCCATCTTCCTCAGACCCGTTGGTGATTCCATTTCTGGGTTTCCTTTCGTTTCTTCTA